AAGTGTAATCCTACAGAAATTAAGAGTTGCATACAATTGAATGAGCCTTTTGTCTTTGCAGTCATCACAAAAACCAGGTCATTTTTAAAGATGACATGACTTAGTGTAATTTCATTTACGAATTTCTCAGCTGGTGGTATAATGAATGTGGATTCAGGTTTACAATGGGAAGCATCCAGTCCCCCTGTATGAATTCAGAAGGAACATTTGAAAGAGACCATTTCTATCATCAATTCACTAATTCTCTCATATGGAAATGATTCATGGATATTTTAGATGTCTTTGTTTCAATATTCATTTTTTCCCTCCGTTTCCTTTGGCCTTACTTGGTTGAATGGGAAAGAGTCGTCAGCTGGGTAAAGGTATTTTGTCTCCTTCAGTGAAGCTGCTGGGAGTTATTAATTAGGTTTCAGAGTTTGGCGCTGCTCTTTCCTGGTCACCGTGATGTGTCATTGAAACAGACCCATTAAAATGAGTGATGTGTGTTGTAATTTCATTAGTGTCATCAATAATGTATTACATTTTCCTTTTAGTAGTCTCTTTGTGTTGTGTGGGGGTCAGAATGACTGTATGAATTACATTTATAAGATCCAAATTGTTACAGATGAAGGAAGATAGGCATGAGGGTGGAATTAATGTTATTTTAAACATGATAACAACCAAAATGATTTCAATTAAATAATATTTTAATTAGATCTGATGTCTCTTCATGCCAAGCTGAGATCCATGTTGTGTGGATGCAAATAGACTAGTGATTTATTGAATAAAAGCTGTGCTAACACAATCTCTTTGTCTTCAGGGAAACTTCTTAACTGGATTAAAACAGTGTCATTTAAAAGCATGAAATGGTTCACTGGGAAATATCAGATCCTTGTGATTATAAAAGACAGGCTCTGAAAAAGAAAATATTTTCTTGCACCCTTCACCCTGTTTTCCTTCCAGACATGTCTTTTTTGACTGGCTTTTTGTTGATTGGCAGAGTGTTCCATTCTGAAAAAACATAGCTGCACAATTTGGATGAGAAATGCTTTTGGAAAATCTGATCTAGTATGTTATTGAAATCTTTAAATGTTGTCTAAGTTCAATTTGGTACTGCTAACTTGAAAATGCCATGACGTGGAGGCCATTAGGTGAGCAAGCTCCCAGCACGCAGGCAGGCTGGTGCAGTGCTCCACTCATAGCATGTAAACGTGCTATGTTGCCATCTCGCACCAACCTAGCTACTGGCATCCCCAGAAGTAAAATGAAATACTCCAAGCTTAGCATCATAGGCTATGTAATACATTGACCTTTAGGTTAAGAAAAGTCTTTCTAAAATCCCACACATCCGTTGTGCAATCTCCACTGAATCATTTCTGATGGGTTTCTTTCGCATCATAGTAGGCGCTCTCTTGCTGTGGGCTACAACACCAAAAGGTGTGTTTGTGGCGGGGAGAGGGCAGAATGAGCTGCACCCAGGCTGATCATTGGCATTCTGTGTTGCTGCCAGGATTTTAACACCTGGCTGCAGTGTCTTCTTGACTATGGCATTCCAGACTTTGCCCTGAGAAGCAGTTGTACCACCCAGCACTGAGAAGCTGAGTGGAAACTATTGTGCAAGGAGAAGGCATCCTGCAGCTTGCAGATGTTTAAAACCAGTGACCAGGTTTCACAGTTCTGTTCCAGAAATGCCAACTGCGCTTACATGTAGCTAATTAGACTTTATCAGGAGCTTCTGACAAGTATTTGCACGTGAGTATAAATCATGGAAGATGGGTAATTACCTGGGAAAATGCAAGGTTGTTCTAAAGTGGAAAAAGGTCGCTGCCCCACTCATTTCAGAGTTCTTTTTTTCAGTAGACTTTGTTGCCAATTCATTTTAATAGAAAATGGAAGAACATAGTATATCTGGTTTCTGAATAATGGCATATCTTATTCCCCCATCTTAGCCTCAGTCTTTAGTAAGAAGACCTGGTAAAAAACAATACTAAGTGTCAACCCATCCCATAATATTTTTCAGTTAGATTTTTTTTTTCAAAGCACAAGTTTCTAGAATGTCAGCATTTTATCTGTTTACCCATTTTGACTAGCCACGGTTGGATTACTCAAGGTATAATTCAAATCATTATGTCTTTGATACATCAGAATGTGTGTATGCCATGGTTTTATGAAGTGGGCTTTTCTGTGTTTCCTTATGCAAACTAAGGATTTGTAGTTACTATTTAGGATTGCTAACTTTGTTGCTAGGTTCTTATATGACACCATTCTGCTAAAGCTGACAACACTTGGCCAAATTGAGTAGTGCCCGATTGTCTTGGGTTACAAGATTATCTGGAATCTAAAGAATATCTTCCTTAAACTGATATGTTGAATTAACAGCTTGATAAATTGGCTTGCAGTCACAAGGATCAAAGACGATGGATTATTAGGAATAATTTCCACTCAACAGATACATCCTGGGAAAAATGCAAACATTGAAATCAATTCTAAATTCAAAAAAAATCATCTTACCCCACCACCACCCACTATCTGCTCATTATCAATTGAAATTTCTTTCCAGTGACACAAGCTTTCTTGTGTTTAAATTCAAAACCACCTGAATTGCTGCTGCAGTTTGTTTCAATATTAATGATGATCTAACAGACTCTGAACACCAAAGTAAGTCTATTACAACTTACATAAATTGAAACTTTATAATTGAAGACCTCCTTTATTCACAGCACTGAACTGAACCTAGGAAAGAAATAGTACATCATTTTCCTTGAGTGTGTAAAGGCAATATAAATTTCCTTTTTGTTTATCATCATCATTATTATCATTACTGTTTCTCATGATACAGTCCTGCAGGAACAGGAATTCCTCCTTCTCATATCTAGTTCCCTCCCCGTTTTCCCCTGCTGCTCTTTTGTTCCCCACATTATTGCAGTAATGTCCTTTGGTAACAGTTACAAGTGTAACTTTCAGCTATTTAAATATTTTATGGCATTGTAGATATAGGGAATGAGTCGGGATAGTAAAGCAGAGTGATGGAAAAAAAGACTATGAGAGATATATTAGATATTCAGGTAAAAGAAAGACATGGAAGGTTCTTGTTGAATGATTAGGTCGGTTTTGTTTCTGTTAATCACTGCAGAGTGTGGGGTATGAAGTTCTGGGGAGTGTGATGCAGATGAGCAACTGTGAGTCAGGAAATAGTCATTGAATCACAGATAATGTTAGAAAAAAATGTAAATTAACCAAATTTGGTATTGCTCCCTTATTGTTGCTTTTCACTCCAATATTATTGTGTAACTGTGTTATTTTTCCCTGACAACATTGTCTTGTATACTACAGTTTTAATGGTCCAATTAAGGAGATTATTTATACTAAAATCTATCCACCTTTCTCTTTTGCTTAGAACCTTTTACAGGTTTAATATTGTTCATAAAAAGTTAAATCTCCTTATCTTGGAATACAGTGCTCTGTGTAATATGGCAATGGAATGTTTTCCCATCTTTTCTTTTACAGCTGCCCATCCTGGCTCTTTCACTTGGGACATATAGAAGTGCTTGACATTGAATCATTGAGTACACTATGCCATCTTACAGTTCATGTTTTTGAATATGTCATGCATGCTACATGAAAACAAGTTATGCTAATTGCACATCTTCTGGCTTCTTTCCATTCCTCAATGTTTGAAACCATGATCCTTAAGATCAAATATTTTCCCATTGTGAGAATTTTCTCTGATCTTTTTTAGTGGCAGTAATTCATCTACTAATACTAACAATTTTTGCTACTATGATTACAATCAGGCAAATGAATTTGATTATTTACTTACCTACTTTTATACATGCAACGTGGAGTTTGACCTATGTCAGCTAAGTTGGGTTACAATAAACAAACAAACAAGTAATCTATAGCTTTCTGCTGCAATATAGCTATTTCTATCAGTATATAAAAATGACCAATATGATCTTTCTCAATCAAATTTCTCCTTTTCAGTAAATCATTTAGGATACAAGGGATCCATTTATCATTTACTCCATATTTGTAATAAAATGACATTGCAAATGTCAAATACGTACCAAAGAAAAGAAAACACTATAATGAATTGTGTTACTCAAAATAAATGGTTATTTGCTACTGGTCAATTACATTCTATGCTAATACTACACTCTCCCCATATTATTGTTTAACATTGTAAAGCAAACTCCAGGTGTAATAACATTATTTGATAAGTATTACGTAGGCATTTGTGGAAGAGAAGGATGCTTTTAGAAAACAAATGATGCTTAATATATGAACAATTCTTTAATATAGTACAATAGTGAATTATCACTATTGTTGGATAGTAACCTACTAAGTCTGAATCAGAATCTGCTGATATGTTTGTTGGAATTTAGAGCAGTGCTTCTCAATTGAAGCTAATTTTGCCATGTTAGTCATCTTTCTCAATGTCTCGCACATTCTGATTTTCTCCATTAAACTTGGGTGCTGTGGTCTGTGCTTTCTGTAGGCCAGCGTTACCTCTAAGAATCCCACAACGCACAAAACAGCAATCACAAAAAAACCCCGACCTGGCCAAAATGTCAAAAAAGGCAAAACTGAGAAACCGTGATTTTTTTTCTTTCATTTCTTTCACTTATTTGTTTGTAGAGCATTCATTGAACACACTGAGTCATTTAGACAATGAAGTTTCTGATAATCAAATTGTTGTTGATACACAGTAATATCATTTAGAGTTTTGTTCTAACCCTTATGTTTTTTAACACTTCATTAGATTAAAATTAAATTTTTATCAAACTTCTTTTTTTTTTCTGTTTCATAGGGTTGCCCACCACCACGAGAACGGGGCATAATGTCTGATAATCTTTATCATTGATCTGCGAAACTAATAATGATCAAATATCAATATCCGTTCATTGACTAGATGGTTGTGTTTTTTGCAATTTTTCCTTTATTTATAGAATATTGTTGCTTCTTGTAAATATCCATCACAATGTTTGATGCTTACCCATCCCTTGTATCTTTTTTTCCAGAAACATCCTGTACCGTGTTGATGAGAAGACAAGACAGTTTTCATTGCTGATGGAGGCTTGGGAACACTGCAAGCCACTTGCATCAAATGAGACTTTTCAGCAAGCCCTGTCAGAGGTGTTGAACAGCATTAATTCAGCTCAGGTTTACTTCAAAGCAGGACTTGATGTGTTTGAGAGTGTCTTGGTTGGAAAGAACTGAGGCAGCGCTCCGCATTTTAAATAGTTTGTTTACAGTTCCACAAGCAGAAGTTCTCATCTGAACAGATATTTTGATAATGAAGACCTTCCCTCCAAAATGGCTTTTTGACACTTTTAGGGCAGTTGTTCCATTGTATTTTTCATGTGCATATAAAAATAACATTTTGCACATTTAGTATTTTTCCTATCACTCTATTTCTGCAAATATAAAAGCAAGTTATTCAAATAATACTTAAGATTTATCTATTAAAAAGATATCTGCTGTATTTTTATACGTATAGACTATTTTCGGGGAAAAGTTCCATATTCTGAACAATGTTCATGCGTGTGCAAAGAACACACAGAAACAGTTTATTCCCTTTTATACAGAGTTAGTGGCCTAGTCTCAGTAACAGGAAACACAAGTTGGCATGTTTTTAAATTACCCTCACTGCTAAGTGTTCCATATGAAGAATTCAAGTATTCTGACAGAGTGATTGGTTGCCTCAAGCCACTTCGAATGTTTCTATATTGTGAAATGAAGTTCCTTTTCTTAACACAACTAGATGTAGTAATACACTGCTTATGAAATTGTATTTTTTTAAGTATTGATGAAAAAGAGCCATAAACATTCCAGGGGAAAGAATCTCAAGGTAACTGCACAGAGTAATTTAAATGCAAATTTTTTTCCTGACAACTTATAAGGTGACTAGCTTTGAAACCCTTAATTTGCTTTAGTTGATTTTTGTAAGAATTTCATGAGTGATGTGTGTCTGAAAGGGAGGATGTCTTTCTTTCTTTACTTTCTGTTGTGCTCATGTTTCTTTTGAAAGCAGCAGCAACTCCAAAGTGTCTCATATTACTTTTCCTTCTTGCATCTTTTCCAAAAGTCCCTCTATAAAGCAGTTGGCATGGAATACTATATAATTTCTAGAGAAAATTTGGAAAGTTTCTCTTCAAAAGCAAACTGTATTAAAAAGCAGCAAAGTCGTATTTTTGCCACAAACCAAAACGATTTATTATGAAAGAATTATTTTTATCAGTGAAAAACACAATAATTTTATTCAAAACTTTTGATATTTTCCACTTTGTTAATCTTAGCTGTGACTAAGATTAAATGAAGGAAAGTACTTGTGCTTCTGATTTCACGCAGAAAATGCAGTTATAATATTATAACATTGTGTCTTTCACAATATTTAGTCCCTTTTTTATGTGGAAAATTAAGGTTTTCATATTAACATTGTCGTTGTCCATCTTATTTCTCTACAATAAAATTCTACTATTAGATGGTAGGTTAAACATGGTTAACTTTCAGGAATTATATTATGTGGTACAGGGTAAAGCAATTTTCCTTAGGAAATATATCTTAGGATTTTTCATGTCAATTTTTCTACTTTTGCACATTGGATACGAGCAAACAATCTTGCATAGTCCCTTTGTGTCTAAGTCTCCAGTTTTTTTGTGGAGAGAATAAACCTAAGTTCCTATAAAAGAAGCCTGAAGTTGAAGGGAGATAATTACCCAGTGTTAATTGATTTTTAAAAAGTACAATGTACATATCGTACAAAATGTTTATACTCTTAAGACGAAGTAGAGAATCCCAGAATTTACCTATATACCTCAGGCAGAAAGTCATCTTTTAGCAAATCTGAATTGGCAACATACAGATGTTCTTACATGTAAAATAAAACAAATCTGATATTTCACTTTTCTAACCAACCTATGTGTTTAAGAGTGTTGAAGAGGGTTGACAGCAACAATCTCTCGGCTGTGCGGAGCTGAACAGCAGAAGAGTGAAAATGTACATCTAGACGTGCATAGAACGGAAGAGTAGAATGCCTATGTTGAAGGATAGTTAATATTTCCTGAAAAGTCAGTATCCAGTCCAGTTTTTCATTTGGAGTTGAATTTGAAACAAGGAATGATCTATTTATCAGTTTTGTAGTTTATCATTTTTGAAAAAAATTGTAAATAAAATGATTCCAATAACCCACAGGAACGTTGAGTGCCTGATATACCTTTTTAATTTTAAATTCTTGCATTTCTACATAAATCAAGCATGATTCCTTGATATTTATGATAATTTTACTATTCTATATGCTTTACTTTTAAATAATATGATACATGCTGCTTGAAAATGAAGTTAACTGTGGACTAATATGGAGAGATTAAGGGACGATTGTCACAGAAGTTTAGGCATTTTATAAATGCTGTTCAGATATCACCCATCAAAAAAAAATCTTAACTAGTAATGTATCTGCAATGGTACCATTCTCACAGAGTTCTTCCAAATTTATATTATTTGTTTCCTTCAACAGATGCATATTAGTAAAATGCAGAGCAACTTAATGGCAAGTATTGTGTGAATTCTCCTTCATTCACAGAATTGTGTTAGGAAATAGTGAATCATAAATGATTATCTTCCCAATAAAGTGGGGCAAGTATATATTGTAGGTAAAATATCCATGGAATATTGTCCTCTGTGGAAAAGTATATACCTTAGAAGTCAAAGGAAATCTATGAGGCATTCTAATAAAAGCGTTAGAATCTTGCCTTCACTCAAAGACTATATTATCAATCCTGCCCAGAAACAGCAACCAAAGCTAAAATCATTAAAGAACTTGTGCATTTAGTTAGTACCAAAATATTGTTGATTCGTAGCCTTTCCAGCTTTTTGCACAGTGCATCTCACTCTCTCCTTGACAATTATAGAGGTTGTCGAGGATCTTTTGCAGTTCATTTTATGGAAGCAATCATTCTTTCAGGTTGCCTGGGCTAGGGCTGCTGCTTGAACTCAAGGCTGGCTCATTCCCTGACTACACATAATATATAAAGTTGCCCTTGGGACTCCAGGCAAAGTACACAAAGATTGGTCCTTAGGAGTTGGTTGGAAGAGTTTCTATGTGATACAAGAAGTGAAAAAGGAGGAAATCAAGAAAAAAAAAAGGTTTTTACAAAGAGCATTTGTGCACTCGCCATTCTAATCTGCTTTCTAAACTGTTGTTTCTCAAAATGTGACATTTGTGACATTTGTGGACATAGTCTAAGACTATTCCTGTTCAGATTTCCAGGTGCGTGTTGAAGCTTGGTTTTGTAATCTATATAATTCTTTTCTCCTAGGAGAACTTTAGCAAGCAGCATGTGTAAATAAATAGAAGAGTCACAATGAAAAGTGGGTCAGGAGACCTTGCTAATAATAGGGCCACTTAAAAGAAGGAGAAAAAGATGGGCCTGTTTTATTTCTAAGAAAAGGATTTAGGTGCCACTAACGTATCTACCTCTTATGTGTCAGGCACAGTTCTAGATTGCTCCCAAATGTTGATTTTTTTTTTCTCATTGAATTGCACAATAGTGCATTTGAATAATGAGGAAATTACATTGAATGACTTTCTAATATCCTGTGCTATCAAATCTGCCAGTGGACATTCCTCTGTGCTCCTGCTGGACCGTTGCCTTTTCAATCCTGTGTTCTTCAGACTGAACAGTGTTTTTCACAATGAGTGCTACAGAAAACATTAGAAGACTCTTTTCATTATAGAAATAGATATAATTGCTAATTATAATGTATTTCTGCATAAGTAATCAGGCATTGCAATTTGCTACTTGTATGTTTTAGCAAGGGAGTTTGAAGAAACAAATGACATAATTCCAGATGATGGTAACATTCCTTCCTAAAAAAATATACATATTTTTATATGCAAGTCTGAAGAGATCTATTTAAAAAGTCCAAAGTGACTGTGCTACAAATAAAGCATCCAGATACCATAATATCACTGTCTTTTCAAAATGCACGTGAAAGTTGTTCCTCCGCCTTTCATGAATCAGGTGTCATGATCTAGAATCCAAGAGTTTATAAGATTCTTAAACATTCAAAATAATTTTAAAATAATTTTAAAATAATTTCAAAATAATTTTGTATATACACACTATATAGCATCTTTCCTACTGGGAAGACAGCTACTAGATACACAAAATAAGCTATCTTTTATCATTTCACTAAGGGTTAATTAGCATCTCCACCTCGAAAGAAAACTGAAATGGTTTGCACAAAAAAATAAGCCTTGTCCAAAATGTGTTCATCAGACAATATATGCTACATGTACATGTAATTAATTACTTGAACAAATCTGTTTAAGTGACCCTTAGCTTCACATTTGCTTAGTAGAAAAGAATTGTTTAAACTGCCAAATCATTTGTTCAGTGAAAGGAAAATATACTAATAAAAATATCAGCAATATGATGGCTTAAGCACCTGACTGTGGATACACCTGGGAGCAGCAACTGGACAATATATTTTACAAAGGAAACATTCTACCTGTTTGTACTAGTGAATATATATGTGTGTGTGTGTGTGTGTGCACGTGCGTATGTATACACTATAAAATCCTGATGTATATATCTATCATACATACACATACATATATATTAGGATTTGAAGACTCAATTAATTCCAATTTTAATTGCTGTGCTAAAAGAGTTTTTTTTTTTTTTAAATCAGAGTTTTAGGCATCCATTTACTGTGAATATTTCTTAGGAAAGTATCAGTTTTGTACAATTCACAATTTTAAATGATGCAGATTTGAGGAAGAATAGCAAAATATGTTCGTAAAATGTGTGTGTGTGTGTGATTTTTTTCCCCAGCATACTTACTCAATATTCTGTTTTATCTTCCCAGATATACTCTGGCAATGGGACTAAGCTTTTTTTTTTCATCGATAAGCAATTTTAATATTTATTAATTTCAATTTGAGTCTCTGTGCTTATCTACCAGGAGACTTAGCTCTCTAATATCTTTCCGTTAACTCTTTGAAAATGTATACAGAAGTGCCTTAAGCATGCATACAACGGCCAAGAATCTGACATCTTCTTTGTTGTAAAGTGACATTTGTAATCTCACATTCATGTCGGATCTGAATACACAAAGCAATACCTTAAATTGAAGAGTTTTTCAGGTAGTATTCAATACGCAGAAGCTGCTTCAGAGTTGGAGGTTCCCAGAGAGATTTTGTTGCTGTTGTTGTTTGAGTTTTACAGTTGCATAATTATCTATAGACAAAATGGTAATTGGATGCTTTCAGCCAAATTTCATTCAAGAA